GTATAAGAGACAGCTCCTGAAATTACAGCTCAGGTCCACCTGGGACGGCTCCTCGGGCTGGGTAAACACCAAGGATTTATGGCCCCGCGCACAGTCTGGGCTGGCGCTGCCTGAGCCCTGGGGCTCGCGTCCCCCGGCTGGGCGTGGGGGGCGACCGCGGGCCCCGCTGGGGAGATGGGGCCTGGCACTGCAGGAACGGTGGGCTCGGAAGGCTCCGAAATGGGCTACCAGAGGGCACCGCTGCGAGGGGGTGGGAGAAAATGGTGTCCCCTGGCTGGGCCCAGCTGGGACCCGGCGTCGTTCTGCCGCTATCGCGCCCCAGGAATCCCGCGCGGAGGTCAGAAAGCACGGCTGGCTCCGGTCAGCGCAGCGCTGCCAGATATTTTGGCTCCGCGTTAATAAAAATCATTAAAGTTTATGATAGGATTTAATTATAACTCATTTCTGGATCCCTTTTCAAGAGTGGAATGCGGTGGTTAGCGCAGGCAGGTCGGTGCTCGGTGCGCCGCGCGTGGTGCAGCTTTGTCCTTGAACGGGCAACCACGCAAAATCAGAGAGTGGCCTGAAAACATCCCCCGCACGACGGCCCCGGGCTCTGCGCGGCCGCCAGCCCCGGCCCCGCGTCCAGCCCGGGAGGGGCCAGGGAGGAGAAACGCGCCCAGCGAGGGGGAGAACTTGCCGGGTTTCCAGGGAGCGCGTTTGCTTCTCGGAGGCCGCGGCGTGCGGAGGGGAAGCTCCGCTCTGCGGGTGCCGGAGTAAGGCAAAGCTTAGCGGAGGCCTGGCTGATGCTCCTGTTTGCCTGATCCTGTTGTACCAGAAAAACTGGAAATTTCACCATGAATTGGAGGAGCCGCTGAGTCAGGATGGGTAACGCCATGTGGTCCATCACTGGCCGCTGGAAGCTTCTTGCTGCGGGACTGCTGTAGCAAGCGGGGCTGCCCGGAGGGCTGCCCACGGGAACACTCTCCCATCGCTGCCCGGTTCCCTGGCACGAGCAGAGCAGGGAGCTGCGCTCAGGGGCAGCGTTACAAAACTCGATGCCTCTCAGTGGAAGGGCTGTGCCTGGCACCAGTGGGGTAACGGGACCAGGATGGGGGTAACTGGGAGGACGCTCCCATGTGGGAAAGGCAGTTTGGTAAATATACTTCAGCCGTCCGGGCAGTTCTGCCCCGTGCTGTACGCAAGAGAACTGTTCTCTTCCAGCACATCAGGGCAGGCGCCCGCTGCTGAGCCAGGGGGATACCCCGGCACCCCGAGAGCTCACCTTGTTCTAAGATCACCCTTTTTATAACCTTTTCCTCACTGTGTAGTTCTTTTTCTCTCATTACATCACATTCATGGCCTGAGTCTTCCAGTGACCTGTCCCGCTCCTGCTGGGAAAACGGTCCGGGTGCCACCTGAGGGGGGTGGACCTGCACAAGTCGCCGGGTTTCCGCAGGATTCCCGGGGGTCTCTGACCTCACTTGAGCGCAGCGTCCCCGTAGTGGTGTGGGTTTGAGGGAGGGACGTGCCCGGAGCCTGTAAGATCGTCGGGTGTTGGTGGGGGCTGAGAACCCCCCCCAGCCGCTGCTCGGACAGGAGCTGAGCCTTCGGCATCCCAAGCAAGGGGGATTTTAATGACAGAAGAAGAAAGGGAGGAACGAGGATGATTTGGGATGTTTTTCCTCCCTGCAAACCTTGTCCTTAATTGTTGTTTTTTCAGGGAGCATGAAAAAGAAGTGCAGAATCGGAAGAGGGGCAAGCGGCCCCGGGGGAGGCCCAGGAAACACGTGGTGAGTCCTGGCGGGTTCCCGGCCGTGCTGGCGCTGGAGCGGCTCTGGCCTGGGAAGGCACCAGCGAGTGTCTGTCCCGAGCGCGGGGAGCGGGGGGTGCTCGGCCCCGGGGGGTGGCAAGGACACGGCCAGTGCCTGCAGACCCCAGGGGGTGCTGGGCGGGGGGAGGAGGGTGCCTGCGAGGAGGACACGGCTCTTTGTCGCTGCTCTGGCGCTGGCGCAGGAGGAGACAGAAGGGTCCCTCCCGGTGTCGCAGCCCGGTGGGTTTGTGCTCTGCGCTCCCAAAGCCGTTTGGTGGCAGAGGACGAGCAGGTGGGCTGACGTGGAGGAGGAACCTGTGTGTGTCTGTGGCACCTGGCCCGTAACGGCTCTTTGGTAATTTGTGTCGACTTTCCCTGTCTCCGTTTCTTTGCAGGAACCAGAGATGCCTGCAAAAACTAAGTCAAGTAGCTCCTCTTCCTCCACATCCTCCTCTTCCTCCTCCTCTGATGAAGAGGATGAAAGCGACCTGGAAGCGAAGAGAGGTCCCCGCAGCAGAGAGACTCACCCAGTACCGCAGAAGAAAGCTCAGATCCTGGTGGCGAAGCCCGAGATGAAAGACGCTTCCAGGAAGAAGCGTGGGCGAAAACCTCTTCCCCCGGAGCAGAAAGCGGCTCGAAGGACCGTGAACCTGACAAAGGTGCTGAAAACATCCCGGAAGGAGGTGGGCGGCAGCGCCAAGCTGCTGGGGAAGCTGCAGCCCCAGCACAGCTCGCAGGGCTCGGGCATGGCCGTGCTGAAGGACCCGCCGGGCGCTTTGCCTGGGCTCGGCTCGGCGGGGTCGTCTGCAGAAAACCTGCCCAACGTGATGAAGAGCGGCTCCGCGAGCCCCAGCCGGGCCATCAGCTGGCAGAGCTCCATCGTGCACTACATGAACAGGATGTCCCAAAGCCAGAACTCGGCGGAGACCTCGCCCCTGGGCAGGCTGGCGCTCAAGTCGCAGGCATCCAGTAAGAGCGGCTTAGGGCTGGACTTAAAAATGAGGAGCCAGAAAGGATCTGGGGAGCTTGGGCTGAGCATGCAGGGACCCAAGACTGCTAAGGCTCCCAGCAGCGGCGCTGGAGGGGACCAGAAATCGGGGTTTGCC